GGTTGGAAATGTTTCAAAATGGCAGCCAAAGGGGTTTCAAAATGGCGGCCAAAGGGTTTGCAAAATGGCACTTAAAGTGGTCACAAAAAGGGACTTGATGTGCTCAGAAAATGGTGTCCAAAGTGTCCACAAAATGGAGCCCAGAGTGTCCACAAAATGGTGTCCAAAGTGTCCACAAAATGGGGCCCAAAGTGTCCATGAAAAGGGTTTTAAAGTACCCATAAAATGGGTTTTAAAGTGTCCACAAAATGGGGCCCAAAGTGCCCACAAAATGGCACCCAACTGTCCCACAAAAACAGACAGAAATTGCTCCCAAAAAGGGACCCAAATCTTCCTGAAATGGCACCCAAAGTATCCATAAAATGTTCCCTAAAATGTTCTCAAAAGGGAACCCAAACTGTCTCTAAAATGATTCCAAAATGGGACCAAATGTTCCCACAAAATGTCCCTGTAAAATATCTCAAAATTGCGCCCACAGGGTCCCAAAAAACGGGGCCTAAATTGTCCCTAAAATGATTCCAAAAGGACACCAAATGTTCCCACAAAATGTGCTTGTAAAAAGGGGCCTAAATTGTCCCTAAAATGGCACTCAATGTTCCCACAAAATGTCCCTGTAAGCAATCCCAAAATGGCGCAAACGGTCCCAAAATGGCGCCCACAGGGTCCCACAAAACGGGGCCCAAAGCCTCCCACAAAACGGCCCCGAAAGGATCCCGGAATGGCCCCTGAGCTCCTCTCCCGGGCATTTTGGGGTGAATCCCGGCCGTTTGGGGCTCACCCCGCTCGGTCTCGTCCAGCTCGAAGTAGAAATACTCGCGCAGCCGCCCCTCCTCGGGCCACGACACCGATTTCTTCTTGCGGGTCCTGCGCGGGGCCGCGCCGCCCTCGGAGGGGACGTCGGTGGCCTTGGGGTCACCCCCGGCCTCTGACGAGCCTGAGGGGATGGCAGGAGGGATCAGCAAAGGGGGAGCCCAAAAATGAGGGGTTTGAGCCCAAAATGGCACCTGGGGAGGGGCAAAGTGACACCAAAACGGGCCCTGGGGTCGTTGGCGGGGAGGGATGCAAAGTGGCTCCTGATGGTCCTGAGAAAGGGACTGAGAGTGCTCCTAAAATGGCCCCAAACCCCCCCAAAATGACCCTAAAAAGCCCCAATCCCACCCAAACTGTCCCCAAACCCACACAAAGCATCCCCAAACACACCATAAACTCTCCCCAAACTGATCCTAAACAGCCCCAATCCCACCCAAACTGTCCCAAACCCACACAAAGCATCCCCAAATTGTCCCCAAACCACCCTAAACTCCCCCAAACTGACCCTAAACAGCCCCAATCCCACCCAAACTGTCCCAAACCTACACAAAGCATCCCCAAATTGTCCCCAAACCCATGCTAAACTATCCCAAACTCCCCCAAACTGACCATAAACGGCCCAAATCCCACTCAAACTGTCCCAAACCCACACAAAGCATCCCCAAACTGTCACCAAACACACCCTAAACTCTCCCAAACTGACCCTAAACAGCCCAAATCCCACCCAAACTGTCCCCAGCCCCACAAAAACTGTCCCCAGACCACCCTAAACTCTCTCAAACTCCCCCAAATCCTCCCAAACTGACCCTAAACAGCTCCAATCCCACTCAAATTGTCCCAAACCTGCAGAAACCATCCCAAAACCCCCCAAACCCCCCCAGGCCGTACCGGTGTCCATGGGCTCGGGCACCTCGATGGCCGGCACCGGCGTCCCCGGCCGGTCCGTGTCCATGGGCTCCGCGGCTGCCGGCTCTGGGGACGAGGGTTTGGCCGTGCTGGGCTCCGGCGCCGGCTTTCCCTCGAAGGGGCTGGGCTGGAGGGGCACAAGGTGGGTCAGAACGGGGTGGTTTCACCCCAAAATGACTCCCAAAGTGTTCCACAAATGGTTCATGAGGTGTTCACAAAATGGCGCCTGTGGCGCTCTCAAAATGGCAGCCAAATTGGCCGACAGAAAGGGACTTAAAGCGTGCTCAAAATGGCAGCCAAATTGGCCGACAGAAAGGGACTTAAAGTGTGCTCAAAATGGCAGCCAAA